GAGAAAGTGAAACAGACACAAAAAGCACAGGTGGTCGCCAGTGGCAGCGGTAACTCGTTCGATGTTAGGTCGAGCATCCAATCCGTCGACTGACTGACTGACTGGCCGGCCTGAATGACTGCTCGCGTATGCGCTCCGAGTGAACTGCGACGGGATCGACTGATACGTCCACGTCGAGAACGGCTGACAGGATTCGAGGATCAACTACAATACCCGGCATGTCAATATTATATAATAATACACGGAATCCGATGATTTTGCTGTCATTGTTCGAACGTCCCATGCTGGTTGTATTCTGACAGCTAGGAGCGCTCGGGCAGCGTGAACTCGCATCGACCTTGCGAGGAGGTACCTACGTCGTAACTCCTGAATTTGACCAGACAAGCTCAGAAATCGCCGAATATCGCGACCGTCTGGCAGAAAGCCTTTCTGATAAGCTCTACAACGAAGATGCACCGGAACCGATCAGGAACAGGATAAGATCGGATTTTTCTTTTCGCAGGTCCGAATCGCTATCTCCGGTAGCGGAAGCAAGCATCAGTGTATTCGCGATCGAACGAATCGTGTTGATGAGCATCGACGGGTGAATGTTTCAGATTGGTCACCGATCGAGCATTGCGCGCACTGGGTAACTATCCATTCATTCGTCCATTCATTCGGCCGTCCGTCCAGCGGCGGACTGGTACTTACTTCCGCTGCCACCGCCGCCGTTCGGACGGCTGTTAAGCAATTCGATTAAATAACGTCGTCGTGAACACGGTCGTCATCGTTGGCGCTCTCGCTGGTACAGCAGCGCGCGGTAGACGTAGTGCTGGTGGTGGTATCTTCGCCGCCATGCGTCGCCGCCGTGGCCGCCGTCATCGTCCAGCATGACTCAGCGCGAGAGACCTTCCTCGACATTGACGGCTACGATAATAGTAAACCGACGGCATTGTATTCGAGCAATGTACAATATGTACATTGTTATCGGACCCTGTGAACCATTGCTGCTATACCAGTTTGACAACAGTGTGGCATTAGCGGCGGCGGCGGCGGCACTAAGTCCTCCATTAGCACCATAACCAGGAATAAGCCATCGGTCGCAGTGAAAAACACTCCTGGAGCGACAACAGACGTTTGCGGATCTTTCTAGTGTCGTTTCTAGGGGTTCCGAACCAGAGACCAATCCTCAGGTCGACCGGTTCACTTGACAATGCATTGCAGAATGTTTCCGTCGTCTGCCATTGTACGATTGTTAGCGAATTTCAACGTCCGGTGCGGACGTCCTTCAATCCAATGATCTCGCGGCTTATCAGAAGCAGCGTCCGTCGGGGAGAAGAAGAGCCTGCCGCCATGCGGAATAAATTCCGAGCGATCCCACTTGAGGATTAGAGGCGCGGGGAAGGGGGTGGGGGCTTGCACGCGTTCCCAAACGGATTGTCTTGCGTTTTGATTCCTTGGAGCCTGAACACGAGATTCTCGCTCGGGGCTCGCGTTTCACTTAGGGAGTGAATACAACGAGGAAGATCGATTGGGCCAGAGATCCGGCGCACTGTTTTCTAATGCATATCACTGGGTCGCCGATTTCACGGGCAGACGCTCGGCTTCCCTGAAAATCAAATCGGAGCCCGAGCTGGTAGCAAAACAAGAGAAGTTCTGCAGAAGCTCTCCGTGGGCGGGTGTTGAGGCTCGTCTGGATCTTTTCTGCTGTCGAACGATCAGCGGAATCCAACTCGACCGAAGAGAGGAAAGAACGACCGAGCGACCGACCGACAAGTCAGTCAGGGACTCAGGTTGCTCACAATGGCTTCTTGCGATCAGATAACCAACGCCCTGGTGGCCCTCGACGACATGGGAGACACGTCGTAAGACATTTAGCTTGACAACAGCGACGACTGACTACTATCATACTAGACAGACTTTGCCGACCGACCGACCGACCGGCCTGCTCAACAGCGAGCGAGAAAGCAAGCGAGTCAGTCGACGAAGCATTGAAGACAGTTCAGTTATATGTAAGCCATGCTCCACTATATTGGCAAGCAACTCTGGCAAACGACCATTGTTCGCTCGCTCATACCGCTGATTTTGCTTTCTCGATTCGACACGAACGGACGGTCAGTCAGTCAGTTAGTCGGTCTTTCGGTCGGTCGGACGATGATCGGACAAGCTGTACCGTTCGACGATGTGGTGCGGATTTTTTTTCTATTTCCCTCGTTGATGATGCTCATTGCACAAGCGTGCGTTTCCAGCGATGCTTGTATAGAGGATCGTGCGCTTTCGTCCCACTAGCATCTAAATGGGAACTATCGATGACCACGCCCAAGCACGCGGCCAACAGTTTGATAGCTCAGCCGCCGCGTCGTCGATCGATTATCCGGCCCGGCGGATAGACGGACGGGCGGGCGGCCAGGCAGACGATCGACGGTCAGCCGACTGCGCGCGGAGATACCGTTCGAATTTCATTTATCTTCAGGTGAATTGATAAAACAGTAGTTCATCGCTGACTCCTCCGGAGCAAAATTCGATAAAGCGCCTTCGCCCGTCCGTCCGCTTGCAGTGGGGGAAGACGTAGAGGTAAGAGGTCAGAAACGTCAAGCTCATCTTATCCAAAACGTGAGGGCAACGACCGGGTGATACACGTCTTTTTCGAGTTCTCCCAACTGCTCGCGGTGTTGTGTTTTAGAGACAGGGTTTAATTGAGGCGACGGACGATTTTGTTTCTTGTCCTCAGCACCGAAAACCATGGATGGAAGTGTGAATTAGGTACTCGTTTTTCCGGTGGTTTGAAACGCCGCCGCGGCTGATGACTCTTGTTTTCGCGTTTTTCTGAAAATACGCTGCAGTCCGATCGACTCAGGTAGAAACACTTATTCTCGGAAGGGATTGATGAAGAATCGATGCACTTGTCGCCTCGATCTCGAAACGATGCTTCGGGGAACCTCCGAGTATGCCGCGATATGAGCGCCATCCGAACCGAGTCCGCTAAGCTTGCCATCTATATCATTGAGATTAAAATGAGGAATTCCAGCGATTGAATGGATGGATCGTCATTAGTCCAAATCCAAACTGAGTGAGTCTTCGCAAAGCATTAGTTGAGGAGGAATGTGCTGGTCGGCACAGTGGGCTGCCCGCTAGACGCGATCTCAATCGGATTGCCGAGGAGGCACCACAAGCTTTTGAGCGCTCGCAACGGAATGTATTGTTATTTTCTGTGAAGTTTCCATCAGAAGTTGAACGATGAGCTTCTGGCGCTTTCCTCCCTGCATAATTGATCGTAGAATCCCAATTAATTTTAACTGTCTTCATTCGTTGGAGGTCGCCGCTAGAGCACACGCGGACCTCCCCCGGTCGGAACCAATCAGGCATCTCGCATCGATCTCCAACACAGCGCATCCTCGAGCCGAGAACTCCAGGCTCTCTCTATCGCTAATCCTCGGCTCGTCGACTTTATCCTTTCATCCAGGTCCTTATCGCTGGTTTACGCTCACGTGAGAACTACTCGCCTAATACCAGTGAACGGAACAGCCGCGAATCAATGAAAAGAGCAGTGGTTTACTTTCGTCATCGTTTATCCTTCAGTATATTTATTGTTTCCAGTCTAATAATTTAGTTGAGATCATCACGTATCACTTTTGTACATTTTTATATTACACGGGTCACACAGTCGTGACTTTGGACACGAGCGTGCGGATTGGATTCGGCTCCGGGATCCCCTTTGGAGTTCACGATAAAATAGATCTCGTCACAAAGTCTCCCTGTCGAACGTTCGGTTCGGAGCGATTTCCTCCGTTTCTCCCGTGGCCGTTGATCCGAATCCGAGGGAGCTCGGCTCCCTGCTCTTATCTTCTTCAGAATTAAAACTTGAGTATCGATGCACCTTCGCTTCTGCTGTAGCCGATGAACGCTGCAGCTGTTCTCGCTCTGTGGTGCTTGTTGTACGATGTATCCAAGCAGAAAAAGTTGGCGTCGAGTCGAAGTCGAAAGTCACCGATTTCGGCAACATCCACTTCGACGAGTGATCGGGACGGGTGATTTCGCTTTTCGAGTTTGACTACCTCGAGGCGTTGAGGACTAGAAGGCGGGTTGGCGGCGGGGGCGGGCAAGTGGGTTTCAGCTAGCCGAGCTCTCCGCTACGTCCACTTGATCCGAGTGCTTGCGAACTCATCGTTCGTACGATCTAACAAGTGCGCTCTTCTATTCCGGATAGAAGACGCCGTGTAGATCCTGGGCTAGGAACAGATCGAAAAACAAGAAGAAGATCAACAGTTCGAGACGGTGATTTCGCAAGTTAGGAACTGATTTTTTTTTCTTCCATCGGTGTTCTGCGAGAGCCAATTCTAGCTTCCGAAGAAAGCCGAAGAACACTTCGGAGTGAACGTGGATGAAACAACATTCTCATGGGAACTCGATATGTTTGGATCATCGTCCGCATAAGCATCGAGGGATCACAGTTTTACTATTGGCGGCGATGGAAGCGGGTCGGGGTTCCGACCTTCCGTCGAAACCTCTCGATCGACGAGCGTTCCTTCGTCGAGTTGTTTTTCGTCCCAATCGGTCACCGGGGCGCGCACTATCCAACGACTACAACGACAAGCGAAGTTCGCGCCAGCGGCACACGGAAGGCGCGGTCAACGTCAACCGTCGGTCCGTCTGGCGTTTTTTCCGTGCGCCGGGCGTGGACGCTCGCTCGTCGTCGTTAGCGACGACGGCGGATTCGGAATCAACATCGTTGTAGCTGGTCATCGTCGACGTCGACCGGTCGCCGCTCAGAGCAACGACGAGTGGAGTTGCTGGCGCCGTCGGTGTTTCCGAGGTTGAGTACTACTGCGCGGTCGGACGCCGACGTCGAGTGAACGTCGGACCTCTTGGACGACGCAGCGGGGAAGAGACGAAGAACGTTCAGGCTTCGAGGAAGGTTCGCGCTCCGGAGGAGCCGAGGAGGAAGCGGCGACTGTCGCTTCACAAAGTCGTGGAACACTTTGTTGGTCGAGGACGGATCTACCTCGATCGGATTCGCGGCCTCATCTGGCCTTGTGTGCTTTTTTTTGCTGCTTTGCCAACTTTTTCCGCTTGAGAATCATTTCGTACAGGTGCTCGAGTCCTTCGTCGAGACCGTCGCCGATTATCGCGCATGCCGGCTGCACGTGATAGAGTGCGTGGAGTTCCTGCAGACCGAGACACTTCTCGATTTCGGCGGGGTCTTTCGCTCCGGGAAGATCTTGTTTATTGGCGAGGATCAGCACTGGTACGCCGGGATTTTCCCGTGATATCCGCGTCAGCTCGATTTTCGCCTCTTCGATTCGTTCGCTGTCGACCGAGTCGAGAACGAAAACGATGCCGTCGGTGCAACGCGTATACGACTTCCACAACGGGCGGAGTTTGTCTTGACCTCCGACATCCCAAATGAGGAACGAGGTGCCTTTGGCTTTCCCCGACGTGGCCTTGATTTTCTCACAATTGAATCCTATCGTTGGCACTGTGGACAGATACTGGTCGAACTTCAGTCGGTACAAAACTGTCGTCTTGCCCGCCGAGTCCAAACCGATCATCACAACGTGCAGGGACTGTGTGGGTAGCGAGTCAACGATCCCTTTTCCCACTGTCGCTCCCATGACTGTAATCCGGTCGGTCGGGCGGTCGTTCGACGAATAATCGATTGTTTCCGACGGGTAATGTTGGCACACGGTTTCAGGTACGATGTCGAAGATTTAAATCCTCATGAGCACACCACATGAATATCCCTTCTCGGAGTAGCGCACTGGCAAGGTGCTGATGTTGTCAAAACTATTTTGCTTGCTGCGAGTAGTGATACAATCCGGTGGAACTGTCACTAAGCACACACGATGCTCAAACGAAACACTATGAAGAGTGTCCAGAAAAATTAATCCGAAACAAAAACGCCCCACCAGAGAGAAATTCGCTCTGTGGTGAACGGCCGGTGTTTCTCCTAGGAGTTCGTGATCTCAACTGACAAAGTGCTGCTGTTCCATCCGCTGCTTGGGAGCGGCCGATGAAGCAAAGGCGAAAGAGGCGACAGCGTCCTTTCCACAAAATGGCCAACAGCGGGGAAAGGGCGACCCGTTCGTAATACAGACTCCCGCCAGCGGACGAGCGAAACACTACGATCGCCAGTCTAGGCGGTGGCCGGCTTTCTACCGCTACCGCTTTCCCTCCGAGAGTCTCAGCTGTAGTCGATCTACATGGTAGCACATATCGTTGCCGAATCGAGGGACATACATGGATGGACAACTCCAGTCCGCCATCTCAGGAGGAGAGGAAATTCTCCTCGGGAGCCACTCTGTCCTCTGATGTCCTACGACGAAGAAGCCCTCCGACGGTCTGCGATTCTTTTCCTCCTCCTCGTCGGACTGACGCCTGGAACGGGTTCGAGAGGAAAAATGAGCAAGGTCACGCAAGCGTCCCCTGTAGCCGAAGTATTATGGTTCCCTCTGCCCCTTTCTATTTCTCGCTAAGGGGGTGGTTGAAGCTCTCGTGTCGGCTAGTAATACGTCAGTGATGGAGAACAGGAGTTCGAGCGTCTCGTTTCGAAACGCGTACCCTGGAATCCTCGTCCAGGGAGCAGGTTCTCCAACTAATTTTCCCTTCGCGTCCCCATCGGCGTCGGCCGATGCCTGGTCAACGATTTGCCACGGGCAGAACGAGAAAAAATTGCTAGTTATTATCGATCATAAATCATGAAGCACTGTGTAGGGGGAGTTCGGACGACCGTTCTTCCGATCTCGACTCCTCAACTCGTCTGTCCATCTCGTTTGTCTGGCCAGATCTCTATTCTGTGCGATAATCCTCCCCCGAAGAGATGAAGAAAGTCAATTGAGAGCCTTCCGCAAGAGTTCATGTTATTCGTTTCTGTCGTTGCGTAAGTCGAGTTCACTGAAGAAAGGGAATCGATAGGATACATTCTTTCAGAACAGCTGCGTGAATGCAAGTCCGTCAGACGTCAAGCGATGGATCCTCTTTTGGAAGCATTTCTTCAAACATCTTTTTGTTAGGCAAAGAAGAGCACTTGCGAGCGTTTCCAAACCGTTTGGAGCCTATCACCAGTAGATAGCAGTCAAACAGTTCGAGCTTTTCTCCTCATTCCGCGGACGGCACCCGATATAACGACACTTGAACCTTGGACCCTAGGCGGGCACGCGGGCGGGGTCAGTCACGATTGATGCTATTGCCTCCTAGTTTGTGCCGGTCGCCGAATCTGTCCGGAAACGGCGTGAAAGCGCGAAAGCTCTCGCAAGAAAAATATCCCTCGGTCGACCGAACAAGAAAACGACACCAGGGAAGCTTGAATTACGGCAGAACTTTCCGACTGCTTGTCGCTACGAATTCTATGATTGATTCTTACGACCTCTGGCTCGCCCGCCGTGCAGCTCCGTCACGTTGTCTGACCGGACGGGAAAAGTGCGGAAACAGAACTTAGTCTGTCGAGCTCTTCAATAACTCGATTCTAGCTGGCTGTCGTGTTATCAAGCACAAACTGGGACAAGCGGAGAACGACGCATGGTACCGGTGAATTTGCGTCACGAGAACGAGAAGAGGAAACACTCAATACGATTCTCGTTTCAGAAATTCTCATACGCACGAATAGATCTGCGACCGATTTCAACCGGATTGCGTGTTCGATAGAATGTTACGCCGAACCTCGAACAAGCTCTCGGGATTACTTATTCCGTCGCGAACTCGTTCACCGCGAAGTTTCGCGTAGGGAAAACCCGGCGGAGGCAAATGAACGATTCTCTGCGTTTGCGACTTCTGCGATCATGAACAAGCTGGCTTAAAGCTCGGTGGTGGAGTCTGGAACAACCTACTCGATGAGTGGCAGGCAGGATAGTCGCGTCGTCGCTAGGGCCTAGATCGAGGAAAACGAAGGAATAGAAGGAACCGAGACGCAATCGCTGTACCCTGAATCGGGCTAGAAGTCAGTCTGACAGTAATGATGGAAAGCTCACTTGGAAAGCCGGGAATTCTCGAATTCGATTCAGCCGTCAGTTTTCTAAAGCGCGAGCGTTGACGAAAGTGTCAATCAACCCAATTCAATGCAGTCGACTCATTCAGCTGCACCTGGCTGGTCATCGCTTCAGTGTGGCAACTCTGGCGCTTTGACGTGTGAACACTCCTCTGAAGCATTCTGCGGGGCTATAGTCGGCGTCGATTGAATTTCCGCTCAACCACACGATATGGAGAAGATAGGTATCCGGAATCGGCATCCCTCCTGCAAAGAGAGAGAGGGTACGGTATTCCCGAGAACCTTCGCTTTGGTTTCCATAGCCTTGCCCATCAGCCGAGCTCTGATCCGGAGAGGGATGATCTCCCGCGAGCCCCAATCGAATCGGTTGGTCAAATCGCATATCAATCACTATTATACCTGCGCCGTGCATATTTCCGAGCTCGGAGCTTTCTCGGCCCGAGTACAGTCAGATGACCGATGAAGTGAGCTGAGAACCTCTACCCTGGAGAAGTTCGTAGACGAGGATATTTCGGGATCACCCTGCTCTCCACAAGAATAACTAATGAGAAGACTCCGGAAATTATCCTTCATTATTTCGATGTGTTGCCGACGCGATGTCAGGGATCGCCACTTATCTGATCCCATGATCTTCTAGGATGAACGAAGAGCAAGCTCAATCAATGCTCAATTTCGCTTCAATGACACAGAAGCGACGGTCAGAAGATTCATCGAAGGCCGCCTGCGTGAAAAAAAAAACCAGACGAGCGTCAAAAGCAGTCAGACACCATTGGTTCGCCTGTCGGGAGCATTCCGACGAAGACGTCGCCGTCGTCCAGCGTTCGTGAGACGAAACAATGGAATTCCCTCGAACACGACAACTAAAACTGGATATACGTACATATGTCCGACTTGCAAGCCGCGTTCTAGGAAAGATTCTTTGCGTTTGTCTTGCTTTCGATTCGAGATGATTACGGGACTGTCACTTACAAGGTCGCTTTAAAAGGAAAAACAACGGTACAAGGATTAGAGTCAGGCTGCGTCGCACTTTCTTTTACGATTACCTAGTTATTTATCCCTCGGATCAATTGGATGAGTGCGACCCCAGACCGTCACTAGAATATTCGTCGAGGTATGGGGCGAAATTTGATAACTCATCCAGGGCTCCCTGGACGCTCATCGGAGCGGATCATTCTGCTGTCTGCTTGCCTTGTTTCTCCAGGAAGTTTTGGTCAAGAGATCCATGGTGCGTTTCAGGGGCTCATTCTCGAGGCGGCAGGGACGGTGACTGAGCGGCGGTGCGGAACTTTGATTTGCGGCAGGTTCAGAGGAAACCACAACAACCTGAGTGATTCAGTGGGAGCAACCGAGCCGTCCACAAACCCGGCTCGATCAATGCGCACGCATTCTGTAAACAACTTCAAAGAACTCTGACGGACGAATACTACGACTCCATCGACGGCATTGTCTCTACTCTGGAAGACTGAAACGCAACTTGGAGCCACGGAGCGATCCATTACGCAAATCGAGCGCGTATCGCTATCCTCACAGGAGGAGAAATCATTCGCGAGGAAAAATGAAATATCGGATTTCGAAAATCTTCCGGCAGGATTCTTTAAAGAATGAGATCATTCGAATTAAGGATCCACCAGTTGAGCTCGCTTTTTTTCCCAGAGAGCAGTCCGCGAAATTCAGATCCAGTACAAGCGCGAGTTTCAAACCTTCTGCCGTTTGCTCTCGCTCAGAGCTTACCGCAACTTGCGACCTTGAAATGATTTGTAGCGTCAGACCGTCTTTGACCAGGAACACGTAATAGATATCCTGACAATGGTTTTATCTGCGCATTGGAGCATCTGAACAAGTTCGTGAAAGTGTAAGTTTTTTTTGTTCCGGTTTCCTCGCTTTCGTTCTCTCTGGGGAGGAGGAAATTCTCTGGAACCAGCCAAGTGAATCCGAAGTAACTGTTTACCTCCTCAGTTTTTTCCCAGTTTCTGACAACGCAGCGAGCACCGCGCCGCCTCTTACGTCACGCCGATATTGTCTAAACTGACCGGTCATTTGCCTGCGATTCGTCATCTTGGGTATTCCGGAAAGTCGCGCGAGATTTCACAGCCTCTACAGTATGTGTGCGGTCGTTTCTTACGTGAATTTCGTTGACCTGTCTTCTCCACTTCATGTTCCGTGCTCTCCATATTACCTACGAATTATCCCTCTCTCGAAAAGTCCCAGAACAAGACTTGTTTCAATAATGTCCCCTCCGTAATATTCACGAACCAGAACTTTTGGGAGTTTGCGACGTCGCGCCGTGAGCATCAGACACTATAGATAATTATGAGAATGCTGAGAATGGTGACTTGACTTTGCTGCTTGGAGCTTTTCAAAAGACTTCTCACAATGCTTTTCCGCGGCCGCTTGTCTCAGCGATTGTGGGAACTTATTAAGACTTTAGGAAGTTGTTGCTTCCCGTCGCAACAATAACCACGTTTTCTGGTGGGACGCGGGTATCCCGTGACGCACTGCTTCGGAGCTACTCTAGGGAACTCTCTCAGAGTCGCCGAGAGCCACTCCTCCAAGTACCGCTCATCGTCCAGTTCCAGAACGACGACGATTCCACTTCACGCCCACCGAAAAACAGTGATTTCGGTCTCTTCCAGCGTTTTTCCGCGAAGGAAAAAACGCCGCTGACTTCACGTGAGACTCCACTCGTTCAAGCTAATCGGGCGTTACATTCGGTTCTTTAGAATGGGGAAAACCTCGTCGCGAGTCGCGAGACAATCAACGGTCAGTTCTACTCGAATGAAGGAGGAAAAATCAAATTAAATTTTTATATTCATGCCTTCGAATGCGACTGAAATAGCTTCACTAGTTTTTCGAGTCTGACGCGTACCATAGCTCGCAGCAGTTCGATTGTTTCCGCGTGTGGAAGCTTGCGAAAGTCTTCATCTGCGTCAACTTCTGCTGAGACTCATAAGAATCATGAAGCATAGCCCACAGAATGGAAGG